ATGTTTGTTCTGTACCCTTGTGCATAATGACCACGACAACAATGTACCTTTTTGTACAGCTTTAAAGATACATGACACTTTCCATAAATTTCTTCTGTTCCCACCAGCTCATGAAGATATTTGCCACACTTAGGACAAATTTGGCTCCCATTGCCATGCCCCTTTTTTGCCTATAATATTTGCCTTTGTGCCAGGAGAAATTATACCCCATAGCTAGTTCTAAAACCTCCACAATAAACTATTTGTTCAGCTTTTAGTCCTGATGCAATAAAGCGACATTAAAGGTTCATATTGGGTTTTTGCGTAAAGTAACAAACATGATATACTTACCTGCTGTGTGCAGTGGTTTTGCACAGAGCAGTCTCGATCCTCCTCTTCACATGGCCCCTGCAGGCTCTCCTGGGCCCTTCTTTTTTTTGGGTTTCTCTGTGGCTTGTTATGGGGGCACCCGATGCTCTGTGTCCATTCACGCACGGAGCCACAGCTTGGCGCCGCCCCCTCTACTTATTGCCTGACTGGCTGTGATTGACAGCAGCGGGAGCCAATGGCTTTTGTTTGCTGTCTCAGTCAATGAGGAGGCAGAGACCTGGGACAGTTGAGGCTGTTGTGCACATCGATGGGGCTCAGGAAAGTATTGAAGGGCTGGCGGCAATGCTGCACACAGAAGGTTTTTTTACCTTCACACATAGAATGCATGAAGGTTAAAAACCTTGAGCCTATACAACTGCTTTAATTAATGAGGTCAATGTGTATACTCTTAATGTCCTGTTCCACCAAATGTAAAAATGGCCGTTAAATGGTTCCTGCTGATTTTGGGATTAAAAGTACATTTGGAGAAGAAACATTTTGAAGCAGGCCATTTTTTTGTTTGTCTTTTTGGAACACTGGTTAACTGGGATAGTTACTATAATACCGACCCGCACCTGTGGTATGTCGTATGGAACTGTCACTTTAATTAGGACACTTATCTGTGGATTTTTTCTTTCATAGAAATGTGATGTTGCAGTTTACATTTATGTTTTGTTAATACGATAGTGTTTTAGGTTGCACTGTTACCCGTAGGGATTTGTGATCATACATACAAGCGTATTTCTACACAGTATAATAGCAACAACGTGGTGTATTTACATTATTTTTTTTCATTCATTATTGCATTACATTGGTTTTACAGGTCAAACCTCATCCATAGAGCGGGCAAACCCATTTTTTATGTTTTCAGCATCAAGCATCTATTTTGCAGTAGTTCAGGCCTCTACTGACACCAGCTTTTGGCTATTAGGTGCTTCAAGCCGCTGTTTGAGTTTGGAACCTGATTCCAATGTTTTGGGCTGTTCGGAATTGATTCCTGTGTTGCCCACATCTCCGTTTGTATTGCTTGCAGATGTTCAATAGACACAACTCTGTTCTGTACCGTACCATTAAGAAAAAAGGATTTTTAATTACCTGTAAAGTCTTTTACTTGGAGTACAGGACACTGGACACCCTCTTCTCTGGAGTGTGTTGTTTTTTTTTTGTTTTTTTTCCCCTCTCTGATTGCATGCTAAAAACTGGCCTGTCCTAACAAGTTTTCCAGTGTCCTCACCTGAAGGTGGCAAAGTATATCCCTTGGCAAAGACTTAAAGTGATACTAAATACACACGGTTTAATTTACAGTACATCCAGAAATTATTCGCAGCGCTTAACTTTTGCAGCATTTTGTTATGTTACAGCCTTATTCCAAAATTTTTTCCTTCAACATTCTAGAAACAATACCCCATAATGACAACATGAAAGAAGTTCGTTTTGAAATCTTTGCAATTTATTAAAAAACAAAATGATAAAAAACAAAAAAAACCCACATGTACATAAGTATTCACAGCCTTTGCTCAATACTTTGTTGAAGCACCATTAGCACCACTTACAGCCTCAAGTCATTTAGTATAATGCTACAAGCTTGATACACCTATATTTGGGCAATTTCTCCCATTCTTCTTTGCAGTACCTCTCAAGCTCCATCAGGTTGGATGGGGAGCATCGGTGCACAGCCATTTTCAGATCTTTCCAGAGATGTTCAATCGGGTTCAAGCCTGGTCTCTGGCTGGGCCACTCCAGGACATTCACAGAGTTGGCCCATAGCCACTCCTTTGTTATGTGGGCTGTGTGCTTAGGGTTGTCCTGTTGAAAGATGAACCATCGCCCCACTCTAAGGTTCAGAGCACTCTGGAACAGGTTTTCATCAAGGATGTCTCTGTACATTGCTGCATTCATTTTTCGTTCGATCCTGACTAGTCTCCCAGCTCCTGCCGCTGAAGTACATCCCCACAGCATGATGCTGCCACCACCATTCTTCACTGTAGGGATGATATTGGCCAGGTGGTGAGCAATGCCTGGTTTCCTCCAGACATTACGCTTGGCATTCAGGCCAAAGAATTAAATCTTTGTTTCATCAGACCAGAGAGTTTTGTTTCTCATGTTCTGAGAGTCCATCAGGTGCCTTTTGGAAAACTCTAGGCGGGATGCCATTTGCCTTTTACTGAGAAGTGGCTTCTGTCTGGCCACTCTACCATACAGGCCTGAATGGTGGAGTTCTGCAAAGATGGTTGTTCTTCTGTAAGGTTCTCCTCTCTCCACAGAGAAACTCTGGAGCTCTTTCAGAGTGACCATTGGGTGCTTGGTTACCTCCCTGGCTAAGGCCCTTTCACCTCAATTGCTCATTTTCGCCGGCGGCCCACTCTAGGAAGATTCCTGGTGGTTCCAAACTTCTTCAATTTACGGGTGATGGAGGCCATCATGGAGGCTCATCAATAAAGGGAAAACACCCCAGCTTTTAGGACACAGTAACAATAAAAACTATAAATAAACTGTTTAAAATGGTTTTCCAAATATATATTATTTTTTGGCAGTAACCTGGTGTGGGGCGAATTTCTGCCAGTCACAGGTTGTCACGTCCCTCCAGCCTCAGTCTTAGAATAACAGGAAGGTGATGCCTTCATTAATCAAGATGCAACATCTCACCCCCCATTGTGTTACCTGGTTAATGGGCATGAAGGAGGAGGGAGGGAGTGTGCTGTAGTTTACCACTGTCTATAGTCACATAGGCTGCTCAGATATGATAGGGAGGAAATTCTCAGCATCTCACTGGAAACTGAACATGTGCAGTAGCTGCCAACACAGCTGTGCAAAATCCCCAACTATATTGGGGACATGGATAGAAGAGGGGATGAAGAACAGCAGGGTTAACTAGGTTATTGCAGAATACAGGAAATTAATCCCATAGTGAATGAGTAAGCATTACACAGCATGTAATACAACTTTTATTGCTAGCTTTTTTTTTTTCTAATTTGATGTGTGTTTAACCTCTTACCCGCCACCCTATAGGAGAAATACTGCTGCAAGGCCACGCAAAATCACGTGTGTGTGTGTGTGTGTGTGTATGTGTGTGTGTGTGTATGTATATGTATGTATATATATATATATATATATATATAGTGTGTGTGTGTATATATGTACTGTATATATTATATACACACACAGTTAGGTCCATAAATATTTGAACACAGGCACACTTGCATGGACAGCTCCTTTGAACACATGATGTAGGTTTATAACAATAGATTCCAAATGCAAATACCACACTTAGGATCAACTCCAGACCTTTTGCTTGCTTATTTGATGACAAAATAATGGAGTAGCTCACACCTGGCCATGAAACCGCTTTTGATTCAATTGTCCAATGACTTTTGGTCACTTGAAGAAGAGGTGATGGCTACTCTTAAGAGCTGCAATTTCTAAACCCTTCCTCCAATTTGAATGTACGTACTCTCAAATTAAGCCTGCGAGTGTGCACTTTCAGCCCATATCCATTATATAAACTATAGCTTGAATATGTTTTGGTAAATACCTGAGAAAATCTAAAATTGTGCCTGTGACCAAATATATATATGGACGTGTGTGTGTGTGTGTATTTAATACAAATGTGATTTCGCATTTTTGGGTAGGGGGTGCGCATCCTCTACCTTGGCAGCTTCAGCTATTGATCACTTGGTGCTGGACGGAGATTCCCCACTGGTGATCACCAAATATCACTGACGGGGAGAGGTCTGTATGTAAACAATACAGATCTCTCCCCTGTCAGCTCCTGCACATTGCTTTGTATTGCTCTGCATAGCAGACCGATACAAAGCAGTGTGCTGGCACAGTACAACAGCACACAGTTAACCCTTTTGATCTCCCCCAGATGTTAATCCCTTCCTGCCCAGTGTCATTAGTACAGTGTCAGTGCTTTTTATTAGCACTGATCATTGTATTAGTGTCACTGGGGATGTCAGTGACAGTAAGTTCCCCCCCACCCCCCCTGCAGTGTCAGAATGCCCATCGCAGTCACGCAGCCCCGCTATAAGTTGCTGATCACCTCCATTACTAGTATTGGAAAAACAAAATTCTAGTGTGTATATATATCGCCATTTGTAGATGCTATAGCTTTCACAAACCAATTAATTTACACTTATTGGGTTTTTTAAAAGGGCAAAGACATGTAGCAGAATACGCTTTGGCCTAAATTTATGACAAAATTTGATTTTTAAAATTCTTTTAATAGACATGTTAATAGCAAAAAGTCCAAAATTTTTTTTTCTCAAAATTGTCGGTCATTTTTTTGTTTATAGCGCAAAAAATTTAAACCGCAGAGGCGATCAAATTCCACCAAAAGAAAGCTCCTTTTGTGGGGGGAAAAAAGGACATAAATTCCATTTGGGTGCAGTGTTACATGACCGCACAGTTGTCAGTTAAAGTAACGCAGCGCCGTATCGCAAAAATTGGCCTGGTCTGGAAGGGGGGTAAATCCTTAGGAGGGCAAGTAGTTAATGACACTTTAAAGGAGCCTGTGTCCTGTACTGTACTCCAAGAAAAGGGTTTTAGAGGCAAGTCAAAAATCCTTTTTTACGCCTTAGCTCTAGGGATATTTCCAGAAGCATACATGAACAATAAAAGTATTCTGTTTTTGTTTATTTACACTGTGACAGGCACATTTGCAGGAAGAAGTGAATGAACTGCAGTACAAAAATGAACAACTTATTCTGGCTAATGAAAATCTAAGTCGCCAGGTTGAACGTCTTCAAGTGGAGAAAGAAGAGCGAGAAAAGGAAGCAGTTAATTACTTCAGTTCTTTAGAGGTAAAACATTTTTTTTTTAAATAATGTAACCTATATCTAAGACTATAACTATTGTTCAGAAATGTAATAAATTGCATCTTGCTAGATGTGGTTGCTGCATTAGTTTTATTTTTTTATACTTTTATTTTTTCTTTTCACCTGATGAAACTGCCTGTAATACACTTTCTGTGCTAGGGTGATGACACCCTCTCACTGCACTGTGTCTATAGACTAGCGGCATTGTCACCCTATTATGCTCTCCTGATTTGGAGTACAAATTACTCATCCACTACTTGGCTCTTTACAGAGTAATTCTACCTTTGTTTAGATAAACGCAATCCACTTTGGGTGATCAATGTACAGTGCATGGACTTTAACAAATTTTGTTGCACAGTCCTACCTGTTTCTGCTCTGAAGAAAAGGGTGTGTGCTGTGTGCAGAATTAAATCTGAATGGCTTTTTTTTTTCCTCAAAATCATTTTGAGAGATCTCATATAAATACACAAAACATGCACAGAGGCACCAAAGGGAAGGTGCACAGCCATAACCTATAATCAATCAAACTAATGGTACAAGTGGCTTTTGGTATAAGAAAAACACCTTACAATTCTCTTCAATTTGGTTAGTTAAAGATGTCTCAGATAAAAAAAGTAAAAGGTAAAGCCGTGGGTAGCTCCAAGGTTCACAGTTGTGACACCCGCATATCTATAAAAGCCTAATGCAGGCTGCAGTTAAGGGGGTGAATGTTTTCATTATTAGTCACCTGATGTACTTGCAGTGTTCTGATGAGGAAAATGCAGGGTCTGTCTCCCTTTTAGAAATTATTAAAGGATAAGTTCACCTTTTGAAAAAAAATAATAAATGCACTTTTTTTTTTTTTTAAATGTGCATTTATTATTTATTTTTTCTAAGGAGTCTGCAGAGCATTGCCCCCACAGTCTCAGGCTGTAGTCTCAGACTCCTACAGACTCTGTTGGTATAGCTGTCTGCCCATACCTACCTTGTATGGTACAAGTGCCCTCATAGTTTTGTGAGAACTACAAGCATCAGCCATAATGGCTGATGGTACTTGTAGGCATTAATTCCCAGGATCAGCACAGCTGTGCTGTTTTCGAATTGAGACAGTGGGTGCCGGGAGAGGATCCCCCTCCTGCTGTCACATAAAGTGGGGATCAGGAGGGGAGAGGCTGCTGATGCTGGAACATGTTACTTGTTCAACCCTTTGTTTAAAATTGTGAACTTATCCTTTAACTATTTGGTAGTATCTCACCAAGAACAAAATCTTTGTTGCAGAGGATGCCTATAATCTGACTTCTGGGAAAATTCGTGAGCTAATTACACAAGCAGGAAATTACATTTCTCTAGATGTTTTATACACCAGTGGATTACAGAACACCTCCAGGTTGCCTTGTTTCTTTGAATTTTATAGACCATTACAGGGCTGCAGATTGTAAAGGAAAGGTGATGTATAGTAACACACATATACAGTATAAAGTTTTTTGGTTTTTTTTTTCTGTAAAGGGGAGATATCCTTTAACATAGGGAGGAGGAAGTGTTCATGGTCTACAGAAGACACCTGGGAAAGTTGATGACATATATTTCAGCTTACCAGTCCTTAATGCAGTAGCTGCATTATTTTTCTTTCTTCAGGCTGACAACGGTACGGAAAAGTTACGGTTGATCTTTCTTGAACTGCAGTGTCCCTTTCATATCCTGTCAGTTTGAAAGAGAGCCCTAGCAATATTTTGTCTTTTTTTTCTGTAAAGTGCAAATTCTCTATGTAATAGAAATGGGGGAAAAAAGGAGGTTTATTTGGATTTTAGCTAGGTGCCAAACATGGCCCACTCTACAAATAACTGGAGGAATGAGCGTAGTTACCTAGGGATAGGGAGTGTTATTCGCAGGATTACCATTTCAAAATGAAGTGTAAACACCTAAAAAAGAAAACTGTTGGAGACATCTCATCTAAGGACTGGTAGCTACAATATATTCCATTTTTGTTTTAAGGCTTATATACACTTTAACCAATTGAGTATTGTAGGCATCTATGCATTTTAGAGATTTCGTTTGTTTCGTATATGTGTTTATCACAAAATAGCATTTCACTTTTGAAGTTTGTCTTTTAATAATATGGTACAGTTGCTCCCTCTACACTAGGCCCCTTCAGAGGGCCAATGCCAGTGTAAATGATCCCTAAGTATTAATATGTTGTGTGCATTTTGCAGCTAACTTCTCAACTAGTTGCAGGTAGGTAAAGTGGGTGCTTTTAAGTGTAGGATTAAATCGAGACATCTTGTATCTTCTGCTGAGAGCAGAAGATATTTAGCTGTTGACATACAAGATAGGGACTTTTCTGGAAATTTAGAAAGATTTTCGGTGGCAAGGAGGTATGACAATCTATGGTATATTTTCCTTGGTTTTTCAACACAAGTTCACTGGTATATTTAGGCCAATCTGAGGTGTGAAGGTGTAGGAACTGGGCTTTAAAATCTGAAGGTGCAGAAATTGGGTCTCATCTGAGGTTGGAAGGTACAAGATTTGGTGCAGGGGTTATCTGAGGTGTGAAGGTGCAGGAAATGGGCCTCTTCTGAGAGCAATTTTATTAGGATGACTGCTATCACTTCACACTTTATTTCGAATTGCATAACTGAACTGAATATGCCAGCTGGGCATTTTCATTTCAACTTTACCGTATGAAAAGCTCAATGTTCATTTCTTACTATTATTCATGTTGTTTACTGCATTTACTTTATAAACATTCCTTTTCATGATTAAGAGTGTAAAGTTCACATTTTTTATGTAGCTGCCACTCTCAATTTCTTTTGAAAACCTTTTCCGGCACGCTTTGTTAAAAAGACTGCCTACCCCTGCAATAGAGTTCTGTCTCTGTGGCATTTTATTAGTTTTTTTATAGCAGTTTACTCTCTGCAATAAATGATTCATTACACTGTGCTGAGCAGAGGAATCTCCATACACTTTGTACAAAGTGCAGAAGTATCCCCCTAATATTTTTTGTTCTGGTCAAATGTTTTTAACACATAGTATTAGGCTATATATTGGTTAAATCAGGGGTGCTCAACCCTCTTGAAGAGCGAGGGCCATTAAAGTGATTTGGTAACCAGTCGTGGACCACAATGAAGTAATAGGTTTTACCGCCCCCCAAACAGCAGATGTAAATAAGCCTTTCCTGTGCTGTGCCTCTTATATGTCTACTTTCACACTGATGTGCTGCGGTTTACTTGCACTGTGGGTGCAGCGCTGTGCACCTGCTGCTTTCCTGTGGGTTAGCTGCACTGAGACATAGACTTCTATTACATCTTCCTGGTGTGGTGCACTTTCTGAAAGTGCACAAAACCCGCAAGATATAATAGAGGTTTATGGTTTTGTTCAGCTAACCTGCAGGAAAACGGCAAGTGCACAATGCTGCACTTGTGGATCTGTGTGAAAGCAGCCTAACAGCCATTTTTTTTTTTTCTTAAGTGCTAATATGCCATTTGCAAAAGCACAGTGTGTTTGTTATGCTGACCTTTCCTTTTCCAGCTTCTGCTAGCATCGTTCTCTGGGCTGCTAGAAAGGTCCCAGGTGAAGTGCACTTGGTATCATTTTGTCTGGGACAGGAACTGGCGCTACAGCGGAAGCATTGGTGTATGCAGCTCCGGCTCCCTCTGCGGCCACTGGCACTGGCTCCATGCACTCTGATGCTTTGGGATGGTGACCGGCAACCTGTTGATCACGAACTAGGCTTGACGACCTGCCATCCTAGAGCATGGGCATGCACTTCCTTGATTTGAGATCGTGGGCCACATGTGACCCACAGGGCTTTTGTTTGAGCACCCTTGAGTTAAATGTTCTTTAACTATTCTGGCTTGAATGTTCTCCAGCCTTTTGTCTCTTAGGATTAAATGTTTGAGAATTTTACATTTTCCTTGCAAAAGACAACAAATAAAAACTGAAACATTTTACAAACATTACAGGTGTCATTTGTGACTTTCGTGTGAATGCTGATACATTTCCAAAGTGAATTTTTATAAAAAGTGTATATTATTTATCAAGGTCACATACTACAAGTTAGCTTTGCTTCTTTTGAAATTCCAACAGAAAGCATATGAAGAAAAACGAGAACTACAGGTTCAGCTTGACCAAGCATTGCAGCAGGCCCAAGACCCTAATAGTAAAGGCAATTCGCTGTTTGCTGAGGTATGTAAATTAATCATCGTGCTTTTTCAGAAATGGTAGAATAAAAATGTAGTGCAATAACTTTTCCCCTTGTTTTTTATGTCAATGTAATATACCATGCATTCGAGAAAATATCGTTACAGACCTAGACTGAAAAAAAATTCTTAAAAGCCACCTTCAAAAAATTAGAAGTCCGCAAAAATGTGGTTTTGATCTGATCTATTCAGTTTTTATGCTTTGCAGCACCTAAATATAGTGTTTTGAAAAAGTATTCATACCGTTGACATTTTCCCACATTTTGTCATGTTACAGCCAAAAATGTAAATGTATTTTTATTGGGATTTTGTGTAATAGACCAACACAAAGTGGCACATAATTGTGAAGTGGAAGGAAAATGATAAATGGTTTTCAACATTTTATACAAATATCTGAAGTGTAAAAATTGTTCAATTTTGAATTTCTTCAAATGTCCAAACAAATCCTTTTCAAATTCAAGTGCTCTCAAAGAAATTGTGCCAAAATCCACCACCAAAGTAAAGTTGGGTAACTCACCAGAGCTCCATGCTGATCAATCTCTAGATCAGCAAAAAACGCTTTTTGCTCTGGGAGCAGATGCAATAAATCAACTTCTCAGGTGTGATGATCAATAGCTACACAATCATCCATAAGGTAGGTATCCACCACTCAATATAACGGTTCCAGGAGCATTATATCACTCTCTCTTTTTATATCTCTCCACCGAGGTCATGTTTGGGAATGAAAGAAAAAATCATGGTGCAGCCAATTTTTTTTATATAAAAGTATCCAACAATTTAATAAAGATTTACACTCACAAAAAGGGTGTCTTCACCTACACCAGTATAACAGCATAAAACAGCAAATGGTATAACAGTCTCCTGCTCCCCGCACACTCACTACAGCGCTCGTGACTCAATCCTCTCCACAGACGTCAGCATCCAGCAAGCCAAGCCCTACTAGTTTCGTCATGAATGACGTCTTCAAGGGGCGGTCTCACAGATTGAAAAGCAATCTGTGTGTCATAAATGCCTGTGAATTTTGGATATGCTATTTAACATTACATGGAGAGACCTTGTATGGCCCAATCTGACCATTGCAGACAGTGTATGAATTCATTATGGCTTAAGTGGTTCCCTTTGCATTCCCTGCATTATGGTAAACAAAGTTTTACAGCTTGCTTTGCTCCCCTACATCCCATGCTGTGCACTGCTGCATCTCTTCTCTCCTCTCTTCTTCTACTCAGAGGAACTAAGGCAGCAGTGGAAGTCATTGGTTTTTTCTGTTGTTAATCAAATGCCCTGATGAGGGTAGGGGGGGGTGGGGGGGGAGATCTGCTGTGTGTCAATTGATGCTTGCAGCCTTACTCAGGACTGAGCCCACACGTCTGCACCCATAGCAAGCCACTTGCTATGGGGACAGATGGAGAAGAGGAGAAGCCAAGATCGCAGGTGGGAGACGCCAGAAAAGGAGGATCAGGGCCGCTCTGTGCAATACCATTACCCAGAGAAGGTTATGACTTTAGAAACACTTCAACGTTTTTGTCCAAATCTGATACTTCAGCTTGCATGTTAGAGCAAGAGGTGACCTGGAGTCTGACAACTGCTACGCTGTCTTGTGCCTGACCTCACATTTTGCCTTCTCAGGAAAAAGGAGACCATGTGTGAGATCAAACTGTTGGCAGGGCATTCACGCTTTGCAAGTGTCCTCCTATTTAAGCTGAAATGTCAGGCTCAAATGTACATCTGTGACAGAGCATGTGCTGTTTTGAATAGTTGAATGCTAGTTGACTTGGATAGACCTAGGATTGTCTAATTATTTTTTAAGTGTCCCTGTCACTTTAAAAATACAAAGCCGCCAACAGGCCTAAACACTAAGCCTGTTCTAAGCAAAAGTTTTGGCACTTCCTTAAAGTATTGGAGCTTGCTTGCCCCCTTCTAAGCTTTCATGTTGGCTAGTGGGGCAGTCCATCATAGTAATGGGCCAACAGGGATTTGGGCGAGAATAGGAAAACTCTTGACACTACCTGTTCAGAACAGTCCAGCAATGATGTACTTTATACCTACTAGCAGCGTTCTTTATTTTCTTTACTTTTAAGTGCAGCGATACTACACTGGAGTACAGCTTGCATGTGTAATGAGCACATATGGCTGACCTTTTTCTCACCCTACCTTTTTTCCCTCCATCTTCCTCACTTTCAGGTTGAAGACCGCAGAGCAGAAATGGAACGTCAGTTGATTAGTATGAAAGTTCAGTATGAATCCCTCAGAAACAACATGCTTTTTCCAGGCAGCAAATGCATCGCATGAAGGTAAAAGTTTAGATTTTCAGTTTTCCACATAACAGTCTGATTGTTCAAACACCACTTAGCTGTGGTTCACACTGATGCGACTTGTGCGATTTGACATTGTCAAATCGCATGAAAAATTGCACCCTATGATTGGCAATAGAACTATTCTGATCTCTGTGACTGTCACATCGATTTTGAAAGTAATTCCTGCAGTACTTTTTGCGATTTCAGGTGCGACTTGCATAGACATCTGTACATGAAGTCACACAGATGTCTTCAAAGTTGCACCTGAAGTCGCACTGACAAGTTGTACAAGCCATTAGGAGGAACCACTACTTGCAACAGAGGAGCAGGTACAGTATATGAGACACTAGAACTGTTAAAAACTGCAGCGGCCAAGCATCGGCAACACGGCAGAGTTTCTACACATGAGTCTATAATGACAAGGTTACTTTAAGTTACATTTAGGTCTATGCACTAAATTGTTGTTTAATGAAAACCTGGAAGCTGTCGATGCAGACCTCCTTCTAAAAATGTTAGGTTTTTCGTCAATAATGTAAATCCTCTGTATTCGATACATACTGAGGAATTGCCTTGGAACAAACCTGCTGCAATTGGAGTTGGAGTCAAGTTGGAACTCCTGGTCTGAATGACTGACATGATGACACAGAATTTAAGCTATTATAACCAGGCAACCCACATTTTCAAAAGTCCGCAGTGGCAGCCCCCATGTTTCTCTTGGTAAAGGTTTATTTTAAAGAAGTTTGTTTTGTTTTGAGACAAAAACGATTGTAATGCTTTTTTTTGTTTTCTTGCTCTGTATTTGGATCAGAATTGGCAACAGTTTGGAAAGATGAACATTCATTCTTTATTTATATTCATTTATATATTTATTTGTAACCAATTATTGTTTATGCCCCTTTCACTGTTCAGCTGCAGTGCGTCACTCCTAGCACTTTAGTGTACCCTGGAGGGACAGGTACAACATCAAGTGCCACTGCAGGCAGCTTGTCAAGGTCTGTGACAAGCCTCTTGGGGCTGAATTCTATACTGAGTGATAATGGAATTTAGGGCCCTGCCCATTCAGCGACAAGGTTCCAGAATGCAGGTCTTCATCACATACCAACTAAAATTCGTATAGCCGTGATATTTAGTTTTTCTACTTCAGATTTTTCTGTAAACTCTACATGCCATCTTTAAACAGAGCAAAGCTGATCAACTTCTGGTCACTTAAAGTGGAGTTCCACTCACACTGTCAAAAAATAGAAGTCAGCAGCTACAAAAATTGAAGCTGCTCACTTTTAAAAAACAACCACTCACCGGTCCCACGATCCCACGGTGTCCTCCCTGCAGCCCGTTTCACCAGCCGTCTGGTGTTCCAGGCGAAGGCATCTACAGTGTGGGCACCTGGCTGTGACAGCTTGCAGTTTCAGAGCCGGGTGCCCATTGCACATGCGTGAGTAGCGCTGCGCTTCCTGAATGGCCCCGTAGTCTTCTGGAACCTGTCACGCGAGGACAACTTCTACTTATGATCGCCTAGGCGATCACAGCGGAAGTGGGAGTGGGTACCTGTCAATTTCAGGTACCCGCTCCCCGAAGGTGCCAATCCTTAATGGGGAGTGGGGGGAACCAGTCTTTAAAGAGGAACTTCCCCTTTTGGATGAAGCTCCGCTTTAAGTGATCTGTTGCTGCATCAGTGAATGGATGGCAGGGCTGGATAATGACCCTCTCACCTCACCTTACCTGACCTGACCTGAATTCTCCTGAAGAACAAAAAAAAAGAAAAGGGGATAACTACATGTCCAGTGACAAGGGTTTGGACAGGGTGTGGACCGCTCTGGTAAAGGCGTATGCTGATTACGTTCACTCACCAGTGACAGATAGCTACCAACAATGGAACTTTGTGAAGTCTGATCTGGTCTGATCTTGCAGGTGGTAGGCACTTTGTGACTAAAAGGACCCATAAAGCAAACTCTTCTCAATAGGACATCTCAAGCATCGCACAACCGGAATGCCAAGAAAGAGCACTAGACTGAAAACAAGGTTCAATGCTCATGAAGTAGCAGCTGTGCCGGACTGGCACAGGATCCAGACCCTTATCCAGACAAAAGTCAGAAAAAGAAAACAAAAAACTCCATTTATCAGGACTTCTGTTAAAATAAGAACCCTGAATGGACTCAAATAGGGCTTTCCTGTTTGAATCTATGTAGGGAAGCTAATTGCTTTAGGAAAATTACTGGCCAGCATTATCTGCGTGAACAATTAAGAGAAGAATGCTGTTCTTTTCCTGATTGCTCATGCATGCAGATACTGCTGGCAAATAACTGTCCTAATCCAGCAATTAGCTTCCCTTCATAGATTCACACAGGAAAGCCCTATTTTAAGTCCATTCAAGATAATATTTTATCTGAAGCCATGTGGGGGGAGTTTTTTTTAAGCCCCTGAAATGCGTTGGTTGTTTTTTTTTAATGTAAACTAATGAGTTAATTTGGACTACTGTGGTATTGAGCTCCTTCTACTGCTGCATGTTTTTTTTTCTGGTAGAAGGTAGCCGCACTGTGATCCTTCCTTCAGCCTGATGACTGGTGATCTGGGACACTAATGACTTGTGGGAGGAATGATCTAGCAGCAGGAGAGGTGTAGAATGCACAAATCTACAAAATTAATGAATAGGGGATTAGGAAGATTTTTGCACTGCAGGTACATTTTTCCTCTTCAGTTTGTCTTCCAGGGAACAGTGAGCAGCACAGTAGTGGCATGCCAACTGTATATACATGCTCAGGAAGACAAGCCATATCTCATGAGAACTGTAGGGTGGACTGGTTGAGATAGGGTTCACATTCTCTCACACTGCAGATAATGCAGCTGTGAGGGCAGAGAACAAGAGTGCAAAGTCACATGTTAGAAACTGCACTGCTGCTTCTCAGTAGGTAAGGCAGAAGTCCAATTATTCAGTGTACTTCTTAGCCACAATTTAAGTTTTCTAGTTTTTTATTTTTTTTTTCTAAAAAATGTCAACTCTTAATTTTTTTTGAGCATAGGTGTAGTTTTATCACAGAGATAATTCTGTCAGATAAAGAAGTAGTAAACGGGGAGCTCCCTTTCCTAGCATTTTTATACTGTTTTTTTTTTTTGTATTTTGTTTTAATATTTTATTATATTTCTTTTGTTATAGGTGCAGATTGCAACATTGTTACAGTTGAAGGGATCCCAGATGGACCCTGACCAGATGGAGAGATTGCAATCAATGGTTGAACAAAAGAACAGTGAAATAGAAAAACTCCTTGTAAAAGTGCGGCATCTGGAAAAAAGTCAGGTTTGTTATTTAAATATTTATACATTTATTATTTTTGCTCACTTGTTTTTAAATGTGTGTTGTAGTCATGCCTTGAAGCTTGTTGAGGAAGATTCTTTTATAGGATTATTCAACCATATATACTTCTAGTCATTCTTGTCGCCATGAACTCATATTGAATTTGCATGTGTAGGAATAAACCTTTTTCTCAGTTTGTTTGGCTGCCTTGGAGAAAAGGGGTTTTGAGTACCTGTCACTGCCCAAGCTATCACGAAGGACGTTGTTCATTCATTGTGACGGCAATAAAGTTTCATTAAAGAAAATGTAAATTAAATAAATGATAAACCTATTAAAAAAAAAAAAAAAAAAGCTTAAACCGCAAATGCCACCTCCCCTGTTCATGTGCAGTTGCAAATGCTCATGTAGGGCCAAACACATGCTGTATGCAAATGGTGATTGCATCACACATTTGAGGTATCGCCACAAATGTCAGAATGAGAGCAATAATTCTAATACCAGAGCTCATGTTAAATTTCACACTGGTAACCTGTACAAAGTGCAAGGACACCGCTGCATGCAAAGCCATACCTAGGATGCCAATCCAAGGGTAGGAGTGCCTGCTCAGCTCACCACTGATCTCAGTCAGGTGCATGTCCTGAGATTCAACTTCATTCTTAAATATAGTAAATCCGCAACACAGTCATCAATAGAGGGATCTGGGAAAAGGGATAACCTGTTTCATGCTGTACCAGCGCTTAGTCATAGCTTAGTCATAGCCTAGTAGCTCAAGATGTGTGGTTATCTGGATCTTATTCTAATGTTAACTTGTAAAGGCTTCTAAATTATCGCCTATGGTCAATTTTAGGTACCGTAGTTTTATCGCCATTGCATTGGCGTGGGAAATTAGAATTGTTTGATATCAATTTACTCAGTGTGCACTAAAATGCATTTAAAGTGGTGGTGGCGTGGCCGGATTGTGAGACCGGGTGGACGTGTGGCTCTTGAGCTCTGATCCTGATCTTATCCTTTATACTCTCCGGGCTTCTATCTACCTTACCTGAGCTCTCTGACCAGCACCCTGGGCCCCAGAAAACTCCTCGGCACCCCATGGGCTGCTCCGCTGTCCCCCAGAAATCTGCGCTCCTCTCATCCTCCTGCGAGCGCTCCCTGCCCTTCTTCACCTCTGGCGGCGGCAATCATGGACACAAGGTCTCCTGTCTCGGCCATGTCAGTCAGCATGCAGACGGCTCCAGTGGCAGTCGACAGAGCAGGCCCTACTACTGCGGACATTATGGAAGCGATCCACTCCTGTAAGGAGACCCTTACGGTCAAAATACTGTAGACTACCTGGCAATCAACATCAGCCTAATCCGTCACGACCTGAACAAGTTCTGGTCCCATGTCACTTAGGTGGATGAACGCATATCCCAGCTGGAATATTCCACCAGAACGGACTCCCGGGAGCTACATGCCTTACAATTACAGGTGAAGGTGCTTCAGGAGAAGGCGATTGGCATGGAGAATCGCCTCAGTCGAAATAACATCCGTGTCCTAAGCCTGCCGGAGTGCACCGGGGGGGCTCCAAGCCTGCAGAATTCGCTGAGGCCTTCCTCACTACCCTGCTAGACATTCACACCATGCAGCCCACCTTCACGGTCGAGAGAGCCCACCTGGTCCCCCCTGACACCTCCAATCCTGGGTGCACTGCCGAGACCCTTCTTGCTCTGGCTTCTCAACTACCGGGACCAAAATAAGATCCTGCAAGCGGCCAGGGCAAAGCGAGATCTGTGCCATGAAAATGTCCAGATTCTTCTCTTTCCGGTCTAATCTCTGGAGATCCAGCAGCGCCGCAGGCTGCAAACACCTCCACGATGATCTCAAGTTCAGCCTCTTTTTACCCCAGCAAGCTCTATGTGGTGGATGGTGACAGCGCCCGTTTCTTCGAATGTCCTGACTGGACACCCAAGGATTGCAGGAGCTGATTGTACTACCTGTTTGATCCTAATTCTCAGTTTTACAGCAAGTAATTGGCCGTCATGGCCTCATTGTCTGTACTTCTACCTTCTTTACTTACCTGTTTGTGGAGCGGGATGCTCCACTACATTCTTCTTTCTGGGCCTTGTTCCACATCTCACCCAGAGCCAGTTACTGCTCATGAACATCCTGCCTGACATTGAACCTCACTATTAGAGCACTGATGCCTTATTTTCTACTCTTTAATTGCCCCACCTGATCCTGCAAACTGTATTCCATTTTTAACTATTTAGAGTTTAGATACACTTGAACCTTTGTGCAGTGCACATTGTTAACCGCAGCGGATGAAGATATCCTAGTTAAGTTTCATGTTCTGGGTACAAGCTGGTTCCCACTTCCCTCTTTTGTTTTTCAGGGGGATGCTGGGTACCGTCAGGGTACGCACTAAGTGCTTGGGTAGTTGTATGTTTTGTTGTTTGAATGTGTTTTTATGTGCTAGTTTGCACTCACTTGCTGCTCATCCAATGTTGCCATCCCTTAAGCCCGGGTGCCCCCCCAACGCCATTTGACCATTCAACATGGTGTCTGGTCAGAATGAACACATTACCACTCTCTCCTGGAATGTCCATGGGCTCAATTCAAAATTTAAAAGGGGTCTGCTTTTCCAATACATAAAATCCTATACTCAGCATATCTTATTGCTACAGAGAGATGCATTTGGTGGGCAGCAAACCGTGGGTTCAGAGTGCCTTTCACGCCTCATACTGCTAGAGGTGTTTCGATTCTGATAAGTAACTCACTCCACTGCCATTGAGGCAGTCCATATGGACCCTCAAGGTAAATATGTTATTCTACTGCTCGCAGTACGCAATCAACGCTATGTATTTGCCAGTAATTATGTTCCTCCACCATTTCAAGTTACCTTGCTCTATGGTATTCTGGAGAGGATCACCCTTTACTGCCCTGCAAAATTTCTGCTTATGGGCAATTTTAATGCTGTTCTTTTGCCTGCTTTGGGCAGACTACTCCACCTAAGTCTTAAGCCGGGGACTTGTCTAATTGGGCCCTTGCCACCAGCCTTACGGAGGTTTGGAGGTAGAAACATCCATCTACCAGAGCGTACTCCTGCTTTTCTATTTCCTATAAAACCTCCTCGAAAACTGATTTCGCCTTTGTGAATCCCTCTTTGGTAGCTAATGTCTCTGAGGTGGAGTATCTCCCTAGCAGGCTGTGTGATCATAGTCCCATGGTGGTTAACATTTAAAATTGGTACTAGCCGTAATGGCTCCCTATGGCGCCTCGGCGCTCACTGGATTTTGCATTCCAAAATCTCTGAATATATTCCCTCAGCATTACAGGAATGTTCGGACGTCAACGCAGGGTCTTCCTCCTCCAGAAACGGTGTGGGATGCCTTTAAGGCTTTTTCTTGGAGACATTATATTTCTACCATAAAGGCGGTTAAGGAACATCAGACAGCCACCATGACCTCCCTCCGCACACAAGTTGTTGATAGATCCACTCAATATAGGGCTAACTCTAATTTTGACTTGCTTATGTCTGCCAAGCGTGACCTACTGTACACCTCACAGAATTTACAAGGCTGCACATGTACACCTCCAAACAAAAATTTTTTGAACAAGGTGACAAGAATGGTAGGTCACTGGCCATGTTATCCCAGCATGACGCCCCCCATACCGTGGTCTCTGAGCTTGCCTCCCCCACTGGCAAGACTATTAACAATGCAGAGGGCATTCTCAAGGAATTTCATGATTACTATCGAAACCCTTACACGCTCACTTTAGCTTCTGGGCCTGCCTCGGAAGATCTCTCATCTCTTGTGGATCCCATTGCCCTTGGTTGGCTTTCAGATGATGATGAGCGATCCCACCTGGTACGCCGCATTACCTCGAAGGAGGTTCTATCTGTGATTCAGTCCTTTTCATCTGGTAAGGCACCTGGATGGATGGCCTGACTATAGAATTTTCTAAGGAACACGGCAAAATGCTTGCCCCCCTTCTAGCTTCTCTATACATGCACTGTCTTCATATGGGTACCCTTCCTCGTTCCATTGCAGACACACATGTGGTTCTTATATACAAACCTCCTAAGGATCCCAAATGCTGTGCCTCCCATAGTCTGATAGCTCTCCTTATTAATGGTCTGAAAATACTGACAAAACTTCTAACCAACAGGCTTAATCCCCTCTTACCCTTGGTAATTGACTCAGACCAAACTGGGTTCATAGCACACAAGTTCACTGACATTAACTTATGTACACTGTTCACAAGCCTTCATGCCCAGCATATTAGTCAGGGTTCTAGAGTGATTGCCTCGCTAGACATCGAAAAGGCCTTTGACACCATGGATTGGCCCTATTTATGGGAGATCCTTAGGATAGGATTTCCGCTGGTTTTCATCAAGTGGCTACAGACAATATACAGCTCCCCAACTGCTGCTATTCGTTTGGGAGATTTCCTCTCTTCTACATGTACTCTGTCCAGGAGTACCAGACAGGGCTGCCCTCTCTCTCCAGCACTTTGCCATGGAGCCACTGGCTGAGGCACTCCAAGTGTTGCTGCTTATTAAAGGTCTGCAGCTGGCATGGCTGGAGGAGAAGATTGCCCTATATGCTGATGACCTTTTGTTGTTTCTGAATGATGCTGGTCCCTTGCTGCATGGTGCCCTGTATGTCTTGAACTCGGTTGTGATGGGACTCAGAGTGAACTGGTCTAAATCCCTACTTTTCGCCATTGACCCCAGGGCCAGACAGAGTGAACTCTCAGATCTACAACTGCAATGGATAGTGGGTGGAATAATCCTCTCTTCCTTTGGGGTCCTCGATCCCCCAGGTATACATTATCTACTCTAATTTGCTCTACCTCCCAAGGATGCCTGCCCCTTCCAGATTGTCACAAATATTTTATTGCCACCCAACTGGTCTCTGCCTCTTCATGGTGGTTGACACCTGATATGTCTAACTCTGCTACAAGATTGCAGTAGTGCGCTCTGTGCTCTGTGGAGGCCCTCCTTTTTATTGTTTCGAGGC